AAATTCTGGCCGTTGATTGCTGCGCAAGGCTACGAGCTGTACCATCCAGGCTGGATGCTTTCTCAAGGCTTGAATTGCTGAAGTTTGAGGAATGTGAGAACCTGACGGAATTGCCTGAATTCCTGCCACAATCTCTTGAGGAGCTCAACCTCGGGAACTCCAAAAACGTCACACCTCTGCCGAATGTCACCGTGCTGCCAAAGCTGAGGACGCTGAACCTGAAACTGGTTGAGGTTGCTTGGGCCGTGAAAGCCAGCAAGGGCTTATCCCGTCTGGAGCATCTGTATCTGGAATCGTGTAATGCTAGGAAGCTTCCATTCCCATTGGTCTACCTTTCTCAGCTTCGTACTTTGGCAATTGGGAGTGCCTTGAGGGTGGAGGCGCTCCCGAGTTTTGGGTCCTCGATGGTGCAGCTGCGGCAGCTGCGTATTCACGATGCCAATGAGCTGAAGGAGCTTCCAGCAAGCATTGTGGAGCTTCCGCGTTTAACGACTCTGGAGGTTCATGCTATGAAGCTGGTTTCTCTTCCCGAGAATTTGGGTGCTTTATCCAGGCTGCAAGAGCTGAACCTATCCAAATGCTCTGCCCTAGAGCATCTGCCTGCTTCTGTGACCCAGCTTGCCTTTCTTTGTCGCCTGGATGTTGAAGACAGCCTGATCCGCTCACTGCCGCCTGGGTTTGAGCGGTTGGCCAGGCTCCATTCACTGAACCTGAAGGACTGCAAGCAGCTGGAATCTCTGCCTGAGAATTTCACCAGGCTCAAGATGTTGCGGGACCTTTTTGTTGAGGGGTGCTCTAATTTAATTGATGCTGAGGGTTTTGTGCGTCCTTGTGGCGTACATTCGATGAAAGGGTTGAAAATTCTAATCCACCGGTAATGCATACATCTGCCTTACGCCTCCTGTTTGTTGATGCATCACCCTGTTGAAGCTATTTGTTGCAGCAATTCTTGTTTGTAAGAACTTGATTAGTGCACGTTTATCCTGCGCTTTATCGTGTCATTTATACAGGTTAAGTGCTACTTACGCCACCCGAACAATGACACCGAAAAACAGCGTTGCAATGCAATATCGAGAGAGATCCCTCATCAGTCAACTTTGCTGGGTCCTCCGATCTTCGTAGTGTAGCAGCACTGGGTGGGTCTGGCCTGGTAGATCTAGGATTTCTGCTACCAAGTCTACACACTTTGCCTACAGAAGTCGGTGATGCAGCTAGCGTGCTTATTAAAGCGACGGGCAACTTTTGGCAGTGTTGGGTTCAGAAGTTTTTTTTTTTTAACCAGGCTTGCCAGCGCGAAAGTGCTGGCTGGCGAAAACCAGGATTTCGTGCGGACACTTTCCATCCGCAGTAACAGTTCGCCAGGGTTTTGGGTTTTGGGTGGCAAATGTGCACCGTCGCTCTAGGGCTCTCTCACATGTTTCTTTACTATGCCAAATACTTCACCTGGATCGCTTCATTGTTCTCCTCGCTAGCCCTTCGCCGACTGTGTTCTCGTGATCAGCGATACGAGATGTCTCGCACACGGATTGACGATTTATCCGACGAGCTTCTAGTAAAGATTTTCTGGCACAGCGATCAACCAATTTCTAACCAACCTGACAGCGGCGCCCTGTGGGGCTTTCGCGGTACTAGACCGAGATACCTCCATACAAGACGCGAGGCGCCTAAACGCAATGACGTTTCTTTACCAAACCCTCCTGTTTCCGCCAACGCCGCCTACAATCTGCTCGTCGCTTCCATCTGCCGTCGCTGGCGCTGTAATGGGTGCTTTCATGCACAGAATTGTTTACAGCGAATTCCACGACTGGCAACAATTCATCCCAATCGTCCTGGGTTGGGCTTATGAAAGAACGAAGCATTTGCTCAAGAGTGCGGTTGGTCCGCTCTGTCTGTCCATCCGTTTGTGGGTGGAACGCAGACGACATCTTGAGTTTCGTTCCGAGTGTCTTAATGACCTCTTGCCAGAACCGGCTTGTGAAGCGCGGGTCTCGGTCAGACACCATCACACGAGGCAAACCGTGTAAGCGGAAAACGTGTGTCACAAACAACTTTGCCGTATCTTCCGCAGACACGTCAGTCGTCGTGGGCACGAAGTGCACCATTTTGGTCAAGCGATCCACAAACACTAGTATCGCTGTATGACCATCTCGCGTCTTGGGGAGATCGGTGATAAAATCCATCGATACACTCTCCCAAGGTTCATCGGGAATCTCAAGTGGTTGAAGCAGACCACCAGGCTTCTGTGTGCTCGGCTTGTTCCGTGCACACGTGTCACAGCGAGTTACAAACTGCTGGACCTCAATGCCCAATCCCGGCCACCAGTATACATCACTGAGGGCCCACCGGGTTTTCTTGACACCCAGGTGTCCTCCATACTTAGTGGCGTGCACCTCTGCGAGAATATCATTCCGCAGGTTTCCCACATGTGGGACTACAATTTCTTTCTTGTGCCACCAGAGCTCATGCTCCCACAAGAGATTGTTTGTATTCTGTGGGTTCTGAAACCAAGGGTCAATATCATACCCTGCGCGGATGCGTTTCAGAAAACCACCAAAGGCAATCTCGCTCACTCGAGCAGCTGCGAGGATGTTGAAACAAGCAGCAAACACAGCTTCATGTTCCTTATCATCAACACCCGTTGCTGCCCCAATCGGCTGTCTGCTCAGAGGATCAGCCATGTTCGTCGAGCCCGCTCGATATCGAATATCGTAGGTGAACCCACTCAGGAGTTCAGCCCATCGAGCTTGACGGCGGGTGAGTGTGGCTTGAGTGGCAAAATAGGTGTTCGGACAGTGGTCGGTCGTGACCACAAAGTCAACACCTTCGAGATAACATCTCCATGTCCGTAGCGCATGCACAACCGCCAACAATTCTTGTTCGGAAGTTGTATAGCGCTGCTCAGCCGGTGAAAGCTTTCTACTCTCAAATGTCACGGGGCGTCCTTCTTGCAAAAGAACTGCTCCAATCCCTACTGTCGAGGCATCAGTTACCACCTCGTAGGGCTTGGACGGGTCTGGCAAAGCCAGCACTGGAGCATTGGTCAGCATGGTTTTCACCTCCTCAAATGCCTTCTGGCATTGATCGGCCCACTGCCAAGCATTACCCTTACGAGTGAGGGCAGTCAGTGGGGCGACTACGGAGGAATAATTTTCCAAGAAACGGCGAAAATAGTTCGCAAGTCCAAGAAATGATCTGACCTGTCCCACGTCCTGTGGAACGGGCCACTGTTGGACTGCCGCCACTTTCTTTGGATCAACTTTGAGGCCATCGTTGCCTACCAAGTGACCAAGGTATTCCAACTCGCGTTTGTAGAAGTGACACTTCCACAATCGAGCAGAATTTATGCTCTCGCAGTTTTCCTAACACCCATTTCAGGTGTTGCGTGTGTTCTTCTTCGGTCTTCGAGTACACGAGGATGTCATCCAAGTATACCAGGACGAATTGGCCGATTGCCTCCCGAAACACATCATTCATTGCTCGCTGAAATGACGCGGGAGCATTTGTCAAGCCAAAACTTAACACACGCCACTGAAAATGCCCGAACGGCGTTCTGAAAGCCGTTTTTGGAACATCTTCTTCGGTGATTCGTAGCTGATGATACCCCTGAGCTAAGTCCAGCGCACTGAACCACTGAGCTCCCTGGAGCCGATCGAACAGATCCTCAATTCGTGGTAGAGGGTATCTGTTCTTCACCGTAATCTTGTTCAAGGCACGATAATCTACGCACATGCGTAATCCTCCGCCCTTCTTGTTAACGAACAAAATTGGTGCTCCGTAAGGGGATGCACTGGGTTCAATCCATCCTTTTCTGAGGTATTCCTCGATCTGTTGTTTGGCCTCTTCGTACTCAGCTGGACTGAGGCGATACAGAGGTCGAAAGGGTGGAACCTTTCCTGGTTCAACAGGGATGGTGTGACCCACTGCGCGGTCAGGCGGAAGTCCATCAGGGATGGTTTCAAACACTTCCTTGAATTCCTCTGCCAGTATTTTCATTTGAGGAGGGAAATCCTCAATTGCTGGCTCCGAGGCCTCGACATTCTCAAGCTGTACCACGAATAGTGTATCAGCCGACTTAACAGAATGCCCGAATTGGTTGGCCAACACACACAGCGCGCTGGGACGTTCAGGCGTCTGTGTTTCAGTGGGCAAAGTATCATTGACTTGCCACTGGATTGCCTTTCCGTTCTTGTTGAACGAGACAATGTTGTACTGGAAGTCCAGAATAACTTCGTTGGCTCTCAACCAATCCATGCCCAGGATGAGGTCGACTCCTGACAAAAGTGGTAGGACATATACGCGAACTGTTTCGCTATAGTCCTGTACTTTCATGTCGATATGTGTCTGTCCTTTACTTGGAATGACACGATCGTCACCCAAGCGGATGGGACACGACGGTCCTACAACGAGGACGTTGCGTGTCGTAACCCAAGTTTCATCAACAAGGGAAACCGACGCGCCTGTATCGACGAGAATCCTTGCTTCGTCCCCATTCATGCGTCCAGATAACAGTAGATTCTGTTGAAATCTTGGACGGATGGGACAAGCGACAACAAGTTTAGGAGGTCGAAAGTACACCCTAAATTTGTTGTGAGCGCGTCCAAACCTTTGGGATGTGGTCCACCAAACATGGTGCCCCTTGTCCCATGTTGCCAGGATATGCCATTCGTGAAATCGACGGAACAACTCTCCTTTCACGATTCGAGTCACCAATCCCACTGACGTGAGCGGGTGCTCTTGGACACAACGGTCCACAATATCCATGATTGCTGGCAACTCGTTGAACGAGCAAGAGATGATTGAAAATTTATCTCTCAAGGATTCAATTGAGATGTTTTCAAGTGGGTATGATCGAGTTTTAAAAACAGATTTTTCATTAATAGAAGAGGCATACAAACAAGCGATTTTGCATGATGCAAGCTTCTCTAGCTTTAGCAAATCCTCATCACGAAGGACATAAGCCTCATCTACTCGATCTCGCTCACCAACTAGGTACCCACCCCCTAGTTGGACTTCGGAAAATCCTTCGGGCCCGAAGGGCCAGAACCATCCGGCTTCTTGCCCTGGTTGGGCTTGCCGGAGTTCTTGACGGACTTCCTCCAACGGCAGTGATAGGACTTGTGCCCGAGCTTGCCACAGATGCGGCAGCCTGCCGGGGGCTTATCCTCATCCTGAGGATCCTTGGCAGGCCCAGCATGGGCCCTCTTGGACTGAGTCCCAGAGGATTCCCCCTTCTGCTGATAGGGCCTCTTCCAAGAGCCACTGCCCCTGTGTGCTTGAGTCCTGTTACCACCCCCCCTAGGGCCTTCGGCACTAGGCTGCTGCTGAGCACGAGCGTGAGTCATGTACGCACGGAAATTCACATCCGTGTCAATGACCTGCTCCTTGCACTCCTTGTAGGTCCTCCACTGATGCTCCCCGCGCACAACATGCACACGCTTGATGTGCTCAGGGAGACCCTTGAAGAACTGGTGGATGACCTCGCTCTCAGGAAGAGCAGTCTTCAGCAGCAACAGACTTTTCTCAAACTCCTTGGCGTACTCGCGTACAGGCTGTTCACCGCACTGGATGTTCTCCAGGCGGCTACGCACCTCGAGCGCCGGGGGCTGACTCAGGAATGCCGCCAGCATGGCAGCTTTGAACTCCTCCCAGCCAAAAGGATGGCCATTAGCCTCTGCGTGGCGCTTGTTGGCATACACCAACTTGCTCGCAGTGTCGTCCAGGGCAAGGGTTGCAGCGACCACACGAGCCTCGCTACGCACATTGTGGATGGACATAAAGTCCTCCGCAATGGAGAGCCAAGTCTCGACGTCGGTCTTGCCATGGACAAAACGAGGCAGGGCCGAAGGGCAGGAGCCAAAGGCAGTTGCTGCTGCAGTAGGAGGCTCAGCACGTGTTCCAGTAGGAGGAGGAACAGCAGGAGGTGCATCAGCAGGTGCAGCACGGCTGTTAGCGGCGTTGGCGACTCGCTCTGCTGCAGGAGCAGGCTGGTAGAGGTTTCCACGCCGGATCTCCCTGTACTGGATCTGAAGCACAGAGATGCTTTTCTCCTGCTTCTTGAGCTGATCCTGCACGAACTAAAGAGTGTTGTGCAGGTCCTGAATGAGGCTGGAGGTGTCGTTTTCCTTAGGGATCAACTGCACCTCCCTGGTCAGCTGCTCAATCAAGGCCTGAAGCTTAACAAAATCAGCCTCCAAGTTCTGGATACGACACTGTTGCACTCCAATGAGAATATTCTGCTCCGTGAGTTGAGTCTGGAGCTTGACAGCAATGTTCTCAGTTTCATTGGAAACACCCTCATCAAAGCCAGCCTCTTCCTCATTTTCAGCATCAGCCTCAAGGTCAGCTTCACTTCCATTGATCTCCATGTCAACCACGAAATCCTCAAGGTTGAGATCAATGTCAGCAGCAGCAGCAGCATTATCTCCCTCAGTGCCAACAACGGGCACCTCCTTAGTAGCATCCATCTCTTGACCAGCAGCCATGAAACAGGTTAAGGAGAGGAGATCTCAACAGATCTTATAATAATCTTTAAGAAATCTGATTACTCTTATAGAATAATCCAATACAGAATTTCTTAAGATAGACTTGTTTGCCAAATCTCTCTATCACCTCAATGATAGAGCAAGATATACTCAAGAGACTAATCCTCAACAAGCCCTTTATAGATCTGAAGGTACACTCTTCTACACAAAGTAGATCAAGAGTCTTCCACCAAAGGTGGGTAAGAGAAATTAATCTCTTCAAATTTCTTCTCAATGTTGATGAAGAAAAATGAGCTCCTTGTAGATCTTGAAGCTCCAATGGTGTGTTGAGGAGATTGAAGCTTGAAGCTTGGAGATCTTGTAGAAACTTTTGTAGATCTTGAAGAACCACTTGTAGATCTTGAAATTTCTTCAAAATCTTCAAAAGATCTTGATAGCTCCTTGGATGAAATCCTGGATCCACGAGCTAGGATCCTCTAAAAAAAATAGTCCAAGTAGCAAATGGCCACACAAGGCCAAGGAAGAATCTGGCTCTACATACCAATGTAATGCCCATGGCTATTATAATGGCGCTTACAAGGCTTTTATAATATTCCAATACAAAATAGTAGCTTTAACTAGCCTTAATAGCCTTGGAGATGAAGATCTTCTTGATGCCTTTGATGAAAAGCACTTGGAGTAGTAGTGTAGGGAGACTTGTGAGAGAGCCCAAAAGGACTTAGAGAAACAATCCCATTTCCAATTGTTTTGTTGGAGTGGGAGGTTGAGAATGAGCTTGCTTAGCTCAGACCCCCTCAATACACCCCTTGGGGAACCATCCCAACCATGGTTTCCATGGTGGGATGGCTCCTAGGCTTGGAGCCTATGTGGCAATTGTGTTGGGTTGGAAAACCCAACTTAGAACCATTCAATGGTTGTGTTTAGGATAGAGTAGATTGTTACAATTGTTTGGCAGTTTCTGATTGGTTGGAAAACCAACCTTCAAATCTCAACTTTGATGGTTTGGAGTTTCCCAAACCTCTTGGTTGAGGTTTGGAGAACCAATCCAAACCTAACATCCCAACCAAACCCAACCTTCTTGTCCAAGTCCCTCATTGTCGAGAAAACTCTCGACATTTGACTAGAGGGAAGTTGGTTGGTGAGCTTAGCTAGGGCAATGCGTTACAGGCGCCGTCTCGCTCGACGCTTCGTCTCAGCACTTGTTGTCAAAGCCAACCCTTTAGTTTCCCGCGTAGAAATCTCGACCGCCATCACTTGTTTCCCGAACCTCACTCATCTTGAAATCAGCAGTGCTGGCGGGGGAACGATAGACGACGAGTTTATGAATCATCTTGCCTCGTCGTGTCCTAAGTTGACCATCCTTTGCCTTATCAACGATTCGACAGAACAGTTCGCCAATGATAGGAGTTATGTGGAGTCGCTAACTACAGATTGCCTGGATAATTTTTTCCGGCGGTGCACTCAACTGGAACAGCTACAGCCCCACTCCCTCCACGACAATACAGTGCTACCAGCATCTTTTTTTCAACTGAAGCGTCTCCATACTCTTGCTCTGTTTCTCGGTGCCCCCCTATTCTCTGGCTGTCATGATCTTGGAAACCTATCTTCCCTCACCGTTCTAGAAATTGACTGCCCACCAGTGGAGTATGAGGAGCTCATACGGCTCACTAGGTTACGTAGCTTAACCAGCCTTTCAATTCCGGATGCATCCGACCCTCCATACGCTTCCCCCTGTGATCCGCTCTCCATCGCACAGTTTCCTTTTCTGAAAAAACTCATATTTTCAGATACCTGTCCCCCATTCGACCTACTGTTTCCTTCCGGCTCGCCATGCACCAACCTCGAAGAGCTACGGATTTCCAACTGCGAGGACCTTGAGCGCTTTCCTAACGACGTTGCCACGCTGTTGCCATGTCTTCGCGAGCTAAGTCTTTATCGGTGCTCTGCCCTCACGGATCTGCCTGAAGAGTTTTTCTCTTTGAACCGTCTGGATTGTTTGAAGATTTCTAGCTGCAAAGCGTTCTTCAGTCTGCCCTGTAATATCGGACGCATGTCTGCTCTCAGAACTCTTATGCTGGAAGACCTTCCACTCTTGGAACTCCCCGAGTCTTTGTGCAGTCTCTCCTCTCTGGCAACGCTGTCTCTTATTCGTTGCCAGGAGATTCGCGAATTGCCAGTGGGATTCTGCTGCCTGCCAGCTGTCAAGACCCTGTGGCTCCAGTATATGCCTGAAATCGTGCTTCCAGCCGGTATCGGAGGGCTCAGGAGTCTCCGGGATTTTTACCTGAATGACAATCAGAAGCAGCTGCAGCTTCCATCTTCCTTCACCCAACTCTCTTCCCTGACGCGGTTGGAATTCAGAAGCTGCTCACTTCTTAATCTTCCGGAGGACATGGAGAAGCTAAGCGGCTTACAAGAATTGATCATCAGTTCCTGCCAAATCGAAGAGCTTCCAGAGTCGCTGACGGGCATTGCGGGCCTTGAAACTCTGGCTGTTAATGACTGCACAAGGCTGCGTGCGGTACCATCAAGGCTGGATGCTTACTTGAAGCTTGAAGTGCTGGAACTTGATGGATGCGAGAACCTGAGGGAGTTGCCTGAATTCCTGCCACATTCTCTCGAGGTTCTACATATTGGAAACTCCAGAAACGTCACACCTCTACCAAATGTCACCGTGCTGCCAAAGCTGAGGAAGCTGAACCTGAGACTGGTTGAGGTGGTGTGGGGCGTGACAGTCAGCAAGAGCTTATCTCGTCTGGAGGATTTGTACCTGGCATTGGGCAACGCGAAGAAGCTTCCGTTCCCATTGACTTACCTTTCCGAGCTTCGTTCCCTGATGATTGGGAGTGCTTGGAACGTGGAGTTCCTTCCGGATTTTGGGTCCTCGATGGTGCAGTTGCGACAGCTGCGCATCCACTATGCGAATGAGCTGAGGGAGTTGCCAGCAAGTATCGTGGATCTTCCGCGCTTGACGACTCTGGAGGTTCATGCCCCTAAGCTGGCTTCTCTTCCTGAGAATCTGGGTGCTTTATCCAGGCTGCTGGACTTGAACCTATCCGAATGCTCCTCTCTTGAGCATCTGCCTGCTACTCTGACCCAGCTCTCCTTTCTGTGTCGCCTGGATGTATCAAAAAGCCTGATCCGCTTGCTCCCGCCTGGGTTTGAGCAGCTACCCAGGCTTCGCTGGCTTCAGCTGCGTGGCTGCAAGCAGCTGGAATCCCTGCCTGAGAATTTTACCAAGCTCACGATGCTGCGGGACCTGAACGTCAAGGAGTGTTCGAAATTAATTGATGCTGAAGGATTTGTGCGTCCTCGTGGCATTTATAAGATGAAAGGGTTGGGAATATTTAGTTAGTTTGCCTGCATTAGCCCAAGCTGTTTGCTGATGTTCCACATTGTTGAATCTATCTCTTGCAAAACTTTTTCTGTTATTACAACCTACATGAACATCCTTGGTGTGTGTTGTTTAGTGTGATTTGGGCCAAACGTGTGGATACGTTCATGTAGTGGGTGTTGTTATGAGTTGTGAAAGGAAGAGTGCGCAGAACTCAATAATACGGAAGTGATTACAACGTCTGAGAACACAACGAGGCCTAGGACTAATACCGTATAGCGAAGCTAGCTAGGCCGAGGTCGCGGGGTCGCGAGATGGTTGGGTGCAGGTTCGGGGTTGGGAAACCCGAAGGCGACGCGGTAGTGGCTCGGAAGGCGAGGTCGGCGGACTGAGCCTGGTTTTCCGAAAGTCGGGGTTGTACGCGTACAGTGTGACCCAGTAAGGAATCCGAAAAATTCCTTACACTACCCCCCCCCTTAAGAAAGGTGGTGAATATCCGAGACACCTCGGCGGGCCAGGTAAGCATCCACAACCGGATGTCCCAGTAGCGAGTCAGCGGCGACATACGTGTCGTCCTCGCTCGTGCGTTTTTTCCAGCGAAGCAGGAATTTCACTGAGCGGCCGGTGGCAGTCACGTCCACGCGATGGTTGAGAATCTTCCAAGGTTCCAGCGTGGGCTCTGCCACGGGGCGTGTGGTCGGCGTGATGGTTGGCCGAGCAACAGCTGGCGACTGCGGCTGTTCGTAATGACGCAGCAGGCTGACGTGGAATGCGTCATGTATTTTCCAGTCGTCGGGCAGCAGCAGCTTCGCGGTGACAGGTGTCACCATCTGGATGATACGAAATGGTCCCACGTATCGGGGCCGTAGTTTCGCGGGCTGCGGCAGCCTGAGATTCTTGGTGTCCAGGAGCACAACCTGCCCTGCGCGGAAGGGTAAATTCCGTCGATGTTTATCCGCCTGGCGACTGGCCGTGGTATTAGCCCTACGAATGAAATAAGCTGCTTTCGTGCGGGCGGTCTGCAGCTCTGTGACAAACTGCTGCGATCTTGGTACCGGGTTTTCCACAGTCGTTGAAGAGGGTACCACGGGGTCTATCCCGTAATTCAGGAAGAAGGGTGATTGTTTAGTCGTGGCCGACGAGGCGTTGTTGTATGCGAATTCCAGCATCGGCAGTGAATCCTCCCATTTGCGAATGTCGGGGCAGTTGGTGCGAATCAGTTGCTCCATGGTCTGATTTGTCCGTTCCGTCTGTCCGTCGGTTTGCGGGTGGTATGACGACGAAAACTGCAGGCGGGTACCGTACTGTGCCCACGTCTCCTGCCAGAACTTCAACGTAAATTTCGGGTCACGATCGCTGATGATCGCCGAAGGTAACCCGTGTAAGCGTACGACGGTGGAGATGAACAGTTTGGCTGTATCTTCGGCTGTGATCGTCGTTCGGCATGGGGCGAAATGCGCCAATTTCGTTAGGCGATCGACGACGACCATTACCGAGTCGTTGCCACTCGTGCCAGCTGGGAGCCCCGTGACGAAATCCATCGTCACCTGTTGCCACGGTCGTTCGGGTGGCGCGAGGGGTTGCAGCAGTCCGGCTGGCCTTTGTCGCGACGACTTCATTGTTTGGCAGGTCGGGCAAGTTGACACGTAGCGCTGCACATCGGTGTGCATGTCCGGCCAGTAATAATTCCGCTGCAGCAGCTTCAGTGTTTTGTCGGTGCCGAAATGCCCGGAAAGGTTGGAGTCGTGAACCTCCTACATCAGCAGCTCCCGTAAAGGTCGGTATGCTGGTACCCAAATCCGGTTCGTACCGGCTTTTAGGTAGTACTTGCCGTGCGGTGTGGCGGCCTGTTGTTGCGGGTTCCGAAAAAACCTGTCGATCTTGTAGCCGTGGGTGAATAGTCCCGTCAGCATCGGGTTGGTGTGGGCGATTAGTACCGCCGCGTTTTGCATGGATGGCCTGGTGAGGGCGTCGGCGATGTTGTTGGCGCCTTTCTTGTACGTGATGGTGTACCGAAAATTGGACTCGAGAAAGTCCAACCACCGGATTTGTCGCGGGTTGAGTGTCGGTTGCGTGCGCATGTACTGTAGCGATTTGTGGTCGGTCCGAATTGTCACGTCGGCTCCCGTGAGATAGCAGTGCCAGGTACGAAATGCGTGGACGATGGCCAGCATCTCTTTGTCGTGGACTGGGTAGTTGCGCTCGGGTGGCTGCATCTTGCGTGACTCGTAGGCGATGGGTTGCAGCCCTTGGCCGAAGTCCTGTAGCAGGACGGCGCCGACGGCGAAATCGCTGGCGTCCGTGACGACTTCGAACGGTCGAGATGGGTCGGCGAGGCGGAGTACCGGGGGCGAACCCAAAATGTTTTTGAGGGCGTCGAAGGCGGACTGCTCCCTCTCCCCCCACCTGAAATCACTGTCGTGGTGCAGCAGGTCGGTCAGCGGCTTGGTTATCCCTGCCATATTAGGTACAAAACGGCGAACGTAGTTAACAAACCCCAGAAAACTTTGCAACTCAGGGATATTAGTAGGCGGCTTCCACTTAACGATGGCGTCCACTTTACGCGGGTCGATTTTGATTCCCTCGCCAGAAACCACATGCCCCAGAAATTCCAGTTACGGCTTCAGAAACTCGCACTTAGACCCCTTCGTAATCAGCCGATGCCCCCTGTAAACGCCGGAACACCTCCTCTAAATCCCGCAGATGGTCCTCTTTTGTCGCGCTGTACACCAGGATGTCGTCCAGATACACGATGACCTTCTTGTCCAGCATGTCCCGGAAAATTCCGTTCATTGTGAGCTGGAATGTTGAGGGCGCGTTTGTCAGTCCGAACGGCATCACCGTAAACTCGTAACTGCCGTAGCGTGTGCGAAAAGCTGTTTTCGGGCAGTCGTCGGCGAACACGCGAATTTGGTGGTAGCCTCATCGCAGGTCGATTTTCGAGAAATACCGGGCTCCGCGAAGTTGATCCAGCAGATCGTCGGTTCGCGGGATCGGGTAACGCGATTTTATTGTGACCCGATTCAGCGCCCGATAATCAATGCACATGCGTAGGCCCCCGTCCTTCTTCGGTGTGAACAGTATCGGCGCTGCATACGGCGACGTGCTTGCCCGGATAAATCCCTTGGCGAGCAGGTAATCCACCTGGGCCCGCAACTCGGCGAGCTCTGGTTGGCTGAGCCGCCACTGTGTCCGAACAGTAGGTTGCGCGCCGGGCTCCAGCTGGATCCGATGATCCTCAGGTCGTTGGGGGGGCAAGCCGTCCGGGAGGTCGTCCGCGAAAATTTCGGGATACCTCCGAATAATGCTCGCCAATTCCTCGTGGACTGCTGCGCAGAGGGTGTCGATGTCCGCGATTTTCTCGGAAGCTGTCACCTCGTACAGGTGCACCAAGAAGGCTTGAGCTCCGCTGTTCATCGCTCGCGCCATGTTGACCGCGTTGACACGTGTCGTCACCGGCTCCGGCTCCGTCCATTTCGGAAGCGTCGTCTTCCCTCCGTATCCTCGCACGACGCACGCCCCAGTCGTCCAGTCGATCGTCGGATTGAACCGCTGCAGCCAATCTCTTCCCAGTAGCACATCGCAGCCGTCCAACGTCGTCGCCAACATCTTCATGCCAAACCCGAATTTGTCGCCACCCTGTATCCGATTTTTTCGCGCCTCATCTCGGATGGCCAGTGGTGTCCCGTCCACGAGCCTTGCGTCAATCTCCGGCAGACACCTAGTCAGCTTCACCCCAATTTTTTTTGCCGTTGCCAGGTTGACGAGACTGTGGCTCGCCCCACCGTCAACGAATATTTTTATTTTATAACCGTTAACCCTCCCTACCACCAGCACAGGGTAGTCCACGTGTTCACCCACGTTATTCGTCCGGTTCTGGTCGATAGCTCTGATCGGTACCACGACCCGGTGTGGATGGTGATTGTCGGGCGACAGGGTCTCGTCAGTAGGTGGCCCTTCTGCTACTGACTCGTATCTTTTCCCGACCCTTCTCCGTCGTTCTTCTTCCCCTGCTTAAGCCTCGGGCAGTCTTTTTTCAGGTGGCCCAGCTGGTTGCATAAAAAGCACGGCCCAAGGGCTCGGCTTGGTGCATCCACGCCGTTGATCATGGGCTGCTGAGTCGATCCACGAAATCGAGGGCCCTCCCGGGAGCTCGATCTCGCCCACTGCATCAGCGCATCCGTTGACTCGGCTTCTTGGACGGCGTCGTTGAAGCTGCGTGGCCGGGTTCGTCGGACCTCATACTATATCTCGTATTTCAGGCCCGCCACGTAGCGATCCAACCGCTCCGCATCGCTCATGTCGTCCACTTGGTCCGCCAAGTTGCAGAACATGCTGGTGTAGTCTTGGACCGAAGTCAGCTGCTTCCAGGCACGCAGCTTCATGCGAGCAGAGTCCGAGGCGGATATGTGCTCGAACCTGGTTCGCAAGGCGGCGCCCCACTCCCTCCATGTACGTATCGTAGCCGTCCCAAAAATTGATGCCGCCTGATGCGTGACAGGTGTTGAAGTCCCGTCGTTCGCACGTGCTATTCCTGCCGAAGTCCCTTCGTGCTGCAGCGTTCGCCTCCACCACTCCAGCGCAGGTCCTCGCAACAGTGAAACTGCGAAATTAATGCGGGTGGCATCGTCATAAATCATGGCAGCATTAAAAAACACCTCCACGCCGAACAACCATGCAGAAACAGTGACGAACTTGTCACTTGGGTTAAACGGGGGCGGGTTTGTCGGCTTGATTTTAACAAAAGCCGTTGCTGCCATCGGGGCCGTTGGCATTGCTGCCGGCGTCGCCGTCGTCGTCGCCGCTGCACGTGTCGGTGCTGCACGCGACTGTTGCGGTGACTGTTGCTGCTGCGCCTGCCTCGCCTCGTCCGCATCCATCTCGCCTTCCAAGTCGCTCCAGACCCGCTCATCTGGTGCAGTGCTGCTACTTGCGTCGTCCACGACAGGCGACTCCTGGCGCGCTTCACCACGCGCCTGGTGTAGTTCGGCGTTTTCCTCCCGAAGACGCGCCATTTCTGCAGACATCGTCTGCATGTTGGCCTGCATCATCCGGAACTGTTGCATGAACTCGTTGAACTCCGCCTGGTCCATGTGTCGCAGGCTTCGTCTAACGGGCAGGGGGTGGCTAGCGATTTTTCTGACTTCGGTGAAGGCGTTAATGCTATCGTAGTCGGAGTGGAATAATCGGATCTATTCCACGGGCCGACCGCTTAACAGCCCACCAAGTCTATCGCTCCCCTTCTACAAACTACCCCGGAAACGCGAGGGTAACCTAGGAAATTAGGCTCTGATACTAAGTGTTATGAGTTGTGAAAGGAAGAGTGCGCAGAACTCAATAATACGGAAGTGATTACAACGTCTGAGAACACAACGAGGCCTAGGACTAATATAGCGAAGCTAGCTAGGCCGAGGTCGCGGGGTCGCGAGATGGTTGGGTGCAGGTTCGGGGTTGGGAAACCCGAAGGCGACGCGGTAGTGGCTCGGAAGGCGAGGTCGGCGGACCGAGCCTGGTTTTCCAAAAGTCGGGGTTGTACGCGTACAGTGTGACCCAGTAAGGAATCCGAAAAATTCCTTACAGGTGTGCAGGTCCCACCTGGCTGAATATGTGGGTTGATGAAACAAGGGAAGGGCTGATATTTAATTGCGATTCTATATTTTGGAGTGTATGCAATAAAAGCACAGCACCACCAACTTCTCCGAGAGTGCGCAGATATATCGGAGAATGATGCATCATATATCTGCGCACCCTTCTTTCCTCGATAATGTCATGATTGTTCTCACACCCAAGCCGCATCACCTAGCTTTTCCGAGCCTGCGACCGTTACTCCTCGTCCCTGGACCTGCATAAGCCCCAGAATGGCCCTTAATTACGTGTCGCGCAGTCAGTTGTCGGGTCGCGTTCTCAGCAGCTTCAATATCACCCGCTTTGGCAATCACAACGGCCGTCATAATGTGTCTAACCATCTTTTCTGTCAAATCTCGTCTGGTAATGCGTCGATCAGGGGCTCATCGCACAGCCGATTGTCTCACAGAAACGTGTCGCACAGGGGTTTGTCGCACATCTTGTCGCATAAAGGTCTGTCGCACGGTAACCCGTCGCCTGGAGGTTTCTACGACCAGGCTCTGCGAAGCGTGTCAGCGAGGAGCCAATCAGAGGCCGGAACAGCTGCGATGAGCGCTCCGCTACTAGCAGAAGCCGAGCCGCCTCTAGAACGAGCTTTAGACCGCGCACCCGTGTATCTTAAAGACATGAGCTTCCAGCAACTAGAGGTGAGTGCGATACGCGCCTTTGAGCATGCGGGGTTGGGGGGGGGGGAAGGGCATTTGAGAAATTTCAAAAATCTCCAGCATAATCTGGGAGAAAGGGGAGTGGGAAGGGATGGCTGGGTTGGGCCTGGAAACGCGAGAATGTCTTTTAACGGTTGTGGATTGCGATTGTGCGTGTCGTGATTATATTGCAGGACTGGGTGGCAGCGGAGTGCGGGGAGGAGCACAGGAGGCGAGCAAAGGTCCTCTGGAAGTGGCTGTATCGAGACGCCCACTGGGCTGAGAGCGTCGATGACATGGCAGGTGAGGTTGGTGACGTGTCAGGTGCAGTGATGACGTGGCTGATCAGGCTGACGATGTGGTTGCACTAGCTGCTGACAATTACTTTCTAAACCCGTTCTCCTTCCATTCCTCTCTTTTGAGACTTCAATGTGAGAATTTTCAGGGACTCTAAAAAACATCCCTACTATGACTATCCCTCCTAGAACCATTGCCCAATTTCCTGAATCCCCTAATCTGCTTGCCTGCGAGGGTCAGTTGCTCTTTCCTCCCTCACCTCTCCATTGCCTTCCCAGCGAAGCTTGAGACGTCTCATTGGCTCCTTTGCCTTCCCATTGTCATCGCTCACTCATTTTCCCGAATTCCCGAACTCGCATATTCGCGCTGCAGGGGTCAGTCGTTCGTTTCTCTCCCTCCTCGCCTCTTCGGGTGCTCGCTTCTCCTCCCTTCGCCTCCACTCCGTTCGAACAGCCGCCGACGGTACAAAGAAGGTGAGTGGGGTTAGGGAAACCCCACAGGAACACAGTCCGCAGCTCATATTCGCCCCTGCTGCCGCTTCTCCTCCCTTCGCCTGCACTCCATTCGAATCGCAGCCGACGGCCCAAAGAAAGTGAGTGCTTTTGGGGTTATGAGCGAGTGAGTGTCACACATAGAAGGAACCACGCAGTAACGCAGTTCACTTGGAAACAGAAAGCCACTTTCGTTTCGCATACAGCTCAGCTCTTCCCTAGGGACAGGAGAACGAGAGTAGCTTTCTGCTGCATCAGTGTTTCCACGTGGCGCCGCTTGAGTGTAACAACGTGGCGCAGGGATGTAACCACGCGGCGCTTCAATGTAACCACTGGCACATGAATGAAGCTAATCAGTCAGTTTCCAAATATTTCTTCACTCCACGCAACCCACTCTTTATGCACCCCGTTCCAGGTGCTGTTTGAGTTAAGCCGCGATGCTGACTTGTCTCCTTCTGACCGCCCCAGGAGACTAGGCGTAGTGGAAACAGTGCTCATTCCCCACAGACCGGGGAAGGGGGGGGAAGGTGCGGAGGAGGAGGAAGAAGAGGAGGAGAGTGGTAGTGAGGATGAGGTAGAGGGGGTTGGTATGAACAGGACATGTGGCAATAGGGCTGGCGGGAGCAGCACCCGCAGCAGTGGGAGCAGCAGGAGAAGGAGTAAAGGGGGGCGGAACACTGTGTGCGTGTCGACTCAGCTGGGCTGTGCCATGGGCTGCCAGTTCTGCTTCACAGCCAAGTATGCATGGGATTAGTGATTTAGATAATTTTCACTTCAAACATTCACCTGTTATGATCCCAACACACCCCTCCCCCATCGTCTCAGCAAAATCTTCTCTTATTCTTACCACAGAATGGGTCTGCAGAGAAATTTGACAGCAGGGGAGATTTTTGATCAGGTGGTTCAGATCCGCCACCTGTGGTTTCAGCACATCTATTCCTTGTCACCCCAACACACCCATTCCTTCTCCTCTCGTGCTTGCCTCACAGAATGGGTCTGCAGCGCAACCTGACAGCAGGGGAGATCGTGGATCAGGTGGTTGAGATTCGACACTCCTGTCCCTTCAAGAGACTCCCTTGTCATATCAACCATTCGTCCCTTGTTGTCCCATCCCAACATGCTCTTCCCCTGCTCTCAGGATGGGCCTGCAGCGCAACCTGACAGCAGGGGAGATCGTGGATCAGGTGGTTCAGATTCGCCGGCTCTTCACAGAGGAAATCGGCCCCGTTACCAACCTTGTCTTCATGGTCAGTCACAAGTAACCGCACCGCAGGGTTCCGCATGGAGCCGCTCATCACAACACAGTACCACACTGAACCGCATGTCAGAGCATCCTCCCGCAGGAAGATCGTGGATCAGGTGGTTGAGGTTCGCCGGCTCTTCACAGAGGAAGTCGGCCCCGTCACCAACCTTGTCTTCATGGTGGGTGGGTCACCCAGTCAGCACCGTGTAGTACCGCACAGCTTAGCACAGTACCACGCTGAAGCACATTGCACCGCACAGCCCAGCACCATGACAGCAGGGGAGGCTGTGGATCAGGTGGTTCAGATTCGCAGGCTCTTCTCTGATAAAGTCGGCTTAGTCACCAACCTTGTCTTTATGGTGAGTCACCAATAACTGCACCGCACTGCACTGCACTGCACCGCACTGCTCCGGACAGTACTGCTCTGAACTGCACAGCACAGCGCAACCATTCAGCAGGGGAGATTCGCCGCCTCTTCACAGAGCAAGTGGGGCCCGTCAGCAGCCTCATTTTCATGGTGGGTGGGTGGGTTTTCATGCCAACACTGCAAGGTAAAACACAAACACTGCACTCCAGAGCACCGCACAGCACCGCATGCAACTGTTCAACCTCTCTTTACTCTTCCCCTCTTTGCAATGCACTCCTCCCTTCCTCTCAGGGCATGGCCGAGCCCGTACACAACCTCCCGACAGTCCTCACAGCGTAAACACCTTCCTGGACCCTCTGGGCGCCCACTTCTCACCGGCTCTCACTCCCCTCAGCCCTGCTCCATACCCTTGTATCCTCCCTCTCCTCTTTGCCCTGCAGCTCCTCCCTTCCTCTCAGGGTATGGGCGAACCCCTACACAATCTACCGGCTGTCCTCACAGCATACACCACCCTCCTCGACCCCCTCGGTGCCCACTGCTCGCCTGCTCGCACCACCGTGTCCACATGTGGGCTTGACTTCAACCCTGTTTCCCACTGCTTACCTCTTCCACCCCTTCAGGGCATGGGCGAGCCCCTACACAATCTCCCGGCGGTTCTCACAGCATGCAACACCCTCCTGGACCCCTTAGGCGCCCACTGCTCACCTGCTCGCACCACCGTGTCCACGTGTGGGCTCGTGCCTGAAATGCACGAGTTCTGCTCTCACTCGGACGCCAGCCTCGCCCTCAGCCTGCACGCCACCACCGACGAGGTGGGCGCCTTCATTGAGGTTGGTCCAATGACTACCCCACACCCTCTGCTCCCACCACCGTCTCCACGTGTGGGCTCACGCCTGAGATGGTGGATTTCTGCTCCCACTCGGACGCCAGCCTCGCTCTCAGCCTGCACGCCACCACCGACGAGGTGGGTATGGCCTTGTTGTTACATTGAGGCCTTCCCCTGACCCCCTTTAGGCGCCCACTGCTCCCACCACCGTGTCCACGTGTGGGCTTGTCCTGAGATGCACGATTTCTGCTCTCACTCGGGCGCTAGTCTTGCTCTCAGCCTGCACGCCACCACCGACGAGGTATGTGCTTCTTTCACCGGGTTCTGTGCCTCTTTCTGTTAGTCCCGGGCCTCCTTTAGAGGGGACTGCTTGCCTGCGCAGTGCTATAACGCCCATTAAACAGGCAGCACAACTTCAGCAGCCTCTACCCCTGAGACAATTCTTCCCCTATATCATATAATCATAACACAATCCCTTCCACTCCCCCACGCCCACCACCCCACCATTCCCCATACCAGGTGCGCAGCAGCATCATGCCCATAAACAAGAAGCACAATCTCAGCAGCCTCTTCGCCTCCCTGAGACGCCTCTTCCCTGAATCATACCATCCCTTACCCCTGTACTACTAACACTTCCCCTCCCCCACACCATTCCCCATACTACCAGGTGCGCAGCGCTATAATGCCAACCAACAAAAGCCACAATCGCAGCAGTTTCTTTGCCTGCCTGAGACGCCTCTTCCCTGAATCATACCCTCCCTTACCCCTGTACCACTAACACCCTCCCCCCCCCCCCACACCATTCCCCAAACTACCAGGTGCGCAGCAGCATCATGCCCATAAACAAAAAGCACAACCTCAGCGCCCTCTTTGCCTGCCTGATACAGCTCTTCCCTGACCCAACAGCCCGGCCAGCACCGGATGCGGGGGAGGGAGGTGATGGGAGGGATGGTGCGGGGTTGCAGCAGCAGTCCAAAAAACGCCATGTGTTCATCGAATACCTGATGCTGGATGGGGTCAACGACAGGTATGTATGAGTGCCCCTTGCGACCGGTGCTTGTCAGTGTGGGCTCAAGTACCAGTAGCCATGTGTGTGCTCATCGAGTACCTGATGTTGGATGGGGTCAACGACAGGTACGTATGAGTGCCCCTTGCGACCGGTACTTGTCAGTGTGGGCTCAAGTACCAGTAGCCATGTGTGTGCTCATCGAGTACCTGATGCTGGATGGGGTCAACGACAGGTACGTATGAGTGCCCCTTGCGACACAAAGGAGGGTGTGGGTCACACAGTGTGGGGCTAATGCAGCTGTCTAGGAAAAGACATGTGTTCATCGAGTACCTGATGCTGGATGGGGTCAACGACAGGTATGCTGCACAGAAGCTGGGTGCTGTTTGTGCTTCCCTCCCTGTGTTTCTCCCAGTAGCCAAGCAAGCGCCATGTGTTCATCGAGTACCTGATGCTGGATGGGGTCAACGACAGGGATGCGTACAGATAGGATCTATAACTGTGCCCTGATGCTGCTTTGACCCTTAGGTGGGCTCCTGAAAGGTTCGTCATGCCCTTGCACCCGGACGGTGTTATGGGAAGCACCATGTATGTATTCATCGAGTACCTGATGCTGGATGGGGTCAACGACAGGTATGCTGGATGGGGTCAACGACAGGTATGCAGTAGTCACGTAAACAGCATGCATGAAGGGGACTCAAAAGTCCACCACCATCAGCGTGTGTTCATCAAGTACCCGATGCTGGATGGGGTCAACGACAGGAATGCATGCAGGGTCAACGACAGGTATGCATGCAGGGTATGCATGCAGGGTCAACGACAGGTATGCATGCAGTAACCCTTACATCACACCTGCACGTGTGCTGTTCCGCGCGTGGTGTTATGAGAACCCCCTTGCTATTCAAAGGAAGCGCCATGTGTTCATTGAGTACCTGATGCTGGATAGGGTCAACGACATCTATGCTGTATGTATTTTTCTTCTTTTTCCAGTTTGGTGTCTGCTGGTAACCCTGAAAGCAGTCTTTACATGCACGGCCAACCTGACTGTCTTCAATCCCTATGCTTCATTTTCCACTTCCGTTCTTTCCCCACCCCACCCACCCCCTTCCCCCCTCCCTTTCCGGTTTGGTGTCTGCTGGTAACCCTGAAAGCAGTCTTCACACGCACGACCAACCTGACTTTTTTCAATCCCTATGCTTCAATTTCCACTTCCGTTCTTTCCCCACCCGACCCACCCCCTTCCCCCCTCCCTTTTCCAGTTTGGAGGATGCACGTCGGCTGGTAACCCTAACAGCTGGCATCGCATGCAAGATCAACCTGATAGTCTTCAACCCACACCCGGGAACCGCACTCCAACCATCCCCACTCCCCCGCGTGCTGGCCTTCCAGCATGAACTCGTGCAAGGCGGCAGAAAGGCGTATCTGAGGCACAGCCGGGGGGATGATGAGATGGCAGCGTGCGGGCAGCTGGGGCAGGTGCCTAGATTAACAGGGCAGAACAAGGCAGAGGCAGCAGCTGTAGTGTAGAATTGTTCCTTGGCTGTTAAGAGAGGGCAGAGCAAAATTTCGATATCTGCAGCACAGCCGGAGGGACGATGTGATGGCAGCGTGTGGGCAGCTGGGGCAGGTGCCACGGCTAACTGAGGACAGAGCAGCAGCTGTGGTGTAGAGTTGTGGTTGGCTGTCACGAGTACATGGGGAAGTGGATGAAAGGCAGAGCCGAAAGGCTTATCTGCGCCACAGCCCGGGGGGGCAATGAGATGGCTGCGTGGGGACAGCTGGGGCAGGTGCCTCGGCTGACTGAGAAGAGCAGATGGGTTCTTTCTGAAAGAGGAGCTAAAAGGCATAAAAACAGGCAGAATCACCCCTGCAACTGATTTTGCGCAGTGGGCCATTGTATTCTGGAAGTAATTGCATTATATTTTTCATCCGACCTTCAACCGTTGTGAAAGGACTCGAGATGAAAGGAAAAGGCTTTTAAATATCAAGTTCTGTACACATGAATCCAGAATCTTCCATGTCCTAAGCAGTTGACTGTCAGTCAGTGACCGTCAACTGGGACGAAATCTATTTTGTCCTATCGCACTTCAGTTTTAACTGAACCCTACTTGGGCATGGTCGTGCCAGCGGGAATGAGAATCTTATCCACGCCATGCGCGATAAAGTAAGGCCCAGCATAGAGCCGCGCGATCTGGATGGTCGTCCACGTGGCAGCAGCCGTGTTCGGCCCCTGGGCGAACGATACGGCGTTGCCATTTTGGGGGGAAACCTTGTAGATCGCTTGCTTCAGCTGAGTCGCCAACGGCTGTGACTTCTTGAGCGCGCGCAACTGAGGAACCGTGAGCTTCCTAGGGAGGATGTGATACGCCATGATGTTGTACATGATGGGGATGTTGCTGCTCTTAGCGGGGAGCTTCTCTTAGCGAGGGCTTGGGCTTCTGTGTCGCTGGGGAGGAGGATGGTGGCGTCCGCGAGGGCTGAGAAGTCGTATTTGGAGTTGAGCGCGAGGCCGATGTAACGGTTGACGTCCTTGGCGTATTTCGCGTATTGCGGGTAACGCTTCGTGATGTTCGTCGCCATGTTGTTCAGCTCCGCCTTGAGCTGCGTCTTGGTGGGCTTCGGCGTCGCTTGCGCGCTCGCGCCGGCCACGCAGAGGGCGACGCAGATGAGCCCGAGCACGGCCAGCACGCGAGAACCAGCCATCGCCGGCGTGTGGTGGAGAGAGGAAGGCTTGTTGCGAGAGATAGAAAGTTCTAGTTCCGATGGAGCAAAAATTTCGGATCGGATTCTTGAGAGAGCTAGGAATTAGTAAAAAATGCGAATCGCGTGATGCAAGGAGTAGCTGACGGACTGTAAAACCGAGAGTTGCGGCGGAGGTGAAGGACGTGTGACTTCGCTAGATCGAGGAAGCAAATAGGTTAGTGATGAGAATGTGAGTTGCTGGCGAGAAATTTGTATGAGGTTGGGGAGGGGCGTGGGCTTGGCTGGCGAAAATTGCGAGGAGGGCTTCGCGAGCTGTCCGAACTGAATCACGCGCAGGAAATCATCGCTAGCGATGAGCGCGGTGCGGCGAAACACGAATGCGACAGAGACTTGGGAGTTTATTCGGTGGAGTGAAGTGCGATGCGTGAGGGTAACAACGCGGATGGAACATGCCGGGAACCGACAAAGCGGCGCTGGGAGTGGTGACGACGAATGAGGCTACGGTAAGGAAATGGGAAAGCGGTATTGTTAGATGGCATTCCTGGGGATGGCCAAACGCCAAACGGCTGGACATCTGAGCGTTGGGGCCACGTGCCTTCAACGAGGCAGCCCACCGACGGCCGTGCGACGTTTTCGCACGACTGATGTTCAGTACTGTAGTTGACTCAACGTGCAACTGTAATGGCGCTGTTATTGACACCAGAATGAGGGCCAAAACCATTTGGGGCATAGGAAAAAAACCAAACCACAGGGATGGTTGCATTGAAGTAGCGGGTGTTTGTGTTGGTAGGGAATTTGGCACTGCATACCCCATTCGTGCGAGGATTGTCAATTTTGCAAAGAATATTTTCGAGGGCGCGTCCCCTGGCTTGTTCAACGACTAACTTGTCGCAGACGTTTGTTCGCGCAGGAAATTCATTGGTGCGCGGGTGCAGATGTACACATGTTGCCAACGTCACAAGGCTACTCTTACATGTCATTGGAGCAGCTAATGTCCAGGCCATCGCCAGGAACGCCCTCGTTCAATAAGGGCGTATTCCTGCACTTCGGGTCATCAGCACTTCGGGTCTTCCGAGATTGTGGGATCCAATCGGAAACTCGGAATCAAGAGATTGGGGTGCATTCCGATTTTTCGATTGGATCCCACAATCTCGGAAGACCCGAAGTGCTGATGACCCGAAGTGCAGGAATACGCCCTAAGTGCACGGCAGAATTTCCAGGCTACATTTGAGTCTGCTTTAAAGCGACGGGCAACTTTTGGCAGTGTTGGGTTCAGAAGTTTTTTTTTTGAACCAGTCTTGCCAGCGCGAAAGTGCTGGCTGGCGAAAACCAGGATTTCGTGCGGACACTTTCCATCCGCAGTAACAGTTCGCCAGGGTTCTGGGTTTTGGGTGGCAAATGTGCACCGTCGCTTTAAGCCCGAGTCCCAAATTGCGAGGCGCGTGGGTCATGCTTTTAAAACTTGACGAAGTGCAGTGTGCAAGCTTTGAAAAGTAGCGCACCTGCAATTTGGGACTTTCGGGTGCTGACACAACCCCCAGGGCGAAATACGTGGGCTGGCTGGTTTTGGCGAAAAAAACGAAATGCCCGAAATCGGAATCACTCGCCAAAGCCCAAAGCAGGAAAACCCCTCGCGTCATCCTTTTAAAACTTGTGCAATTTGGGCTTCCGGATTTTAGAGGTCAGTGGGAATGGGAAATGAGTTCCAATTTCCAAAACAGTTCCAGAAATGTCAACAGATCAGAATGAAACACACAGCAGCCAGCCAGCTAGCAGAAGTCAAAGCTACAAACAACGTACTGGAAAGGAAACTCAGGAATCAAAGCGCACCATATTTCAGCATAATCAATACGGAACAACAACCATCGGATCAATCCAGGCCATCACATGCAGCTCTGCCTCCCCTCGCCTCACTCCACCCCTTCATAGAATCGAATCAAATCACCTGATTGCAGCCCTGAGAACACTTACTCCACCCACCATCATAAAATAACATTCCACATCGCACCTCTCTCCTCTCACCTCCCCTCCCCTTGGTTCATCTTCACTCCTAATCTTAGCAGTCCCCTTCCTCAACACCTCCAAGCTCCCACCTCCAAAGCTCCCTCTTCCCACCCACAATCATGGCACCCTCACTCCTCCATCACCCTCGCTCCCACAAGCATCCTTCCCCCCCTTTCCGTCTTCCCCCGCCCCCCGAACCCCTCTCCCTTCCCCGGCCGATCTCCCCTCACCTTCCCCGCTCAAAATCCACACGGCTCTGCAAGCTGCCCCCCTCGTACGCCTCGTAGCTCCCCCCCCCCCCCCAGCTCGCGCGCACGTTACCCCCCACTCCTCCCCCACTCCTCCCCCACTCCCCTGCGACTCTCCCCCTCACCGCCCCCGCCCGAACCCCACCGGCCCGTCCCTAATCCCCCCTCTCTCCCTCCCCCGCGGCCCCCTCACCCCCCCTCTCAAAATTCACACGGTTCCGCGAGCTCCCCCCTCGTACGCCTCGTAGCTTCCTCCCCCTCCGCTCGCGCGCACGTTACTCCTTACTCCTCCCCAACTCCCCCGCAACTCTCCCCTCACCTCCCCCGCTCAAAATCGACCCGGTTCCGCGAGCTCCCCCCCTCGTACGCCTCGTAGCTCCCCCCGCCTCCGCTCGCGCGCATGGTTCCCCCCGCGCCCACCTTATCCATCGCCTTCTTCCCCGTCTTCACCTGCGTCAAGAACTGATCCAACCCGAACGGATCCGCCTCAACCGCCGCATCGCGCTCAAACTCCACCGGCCCGTCGCGCGGCGCCCCGCCGCCGCCGCCCGCTCCCCGCTCCGCCGCGCCCGCGAAGCCCTTATCCGGCTTGAACCGCTCCGTGCGCAGCAGCGCGTCCGCTCCGCCGCCCTCCTCTCCGCCGCCCCTCCCCGCGTACACCTCCTCATCCACCCCCTTGCGCACCTTGTACAAACCGCTCGCGCCCTCGCGGTTAAACAGCCCCTTGTCGTAGATATTATACGTGTCGTCCGCGGCAAAACCGGACTCCATACCCTGCTCCTGGTTGAAAAGCCGCTGGTCGTACATAATCTCCCCGCCGCCGCCGGCGGCGCCCACGTTAGCCAGCCCAAGCGCCATCTTCTCGCTGATATCGCGGTCACGGTCGCGCGTGAGTTTGCTCTTCTTTCCGCCCGCGCCTTCCTTCGCCTCGAGCCGCCGCTCCCGCTCCCGCTCCCTGCGCCGCTCCTCCCGCAGCGCCTCCCGCCGCATCCGCTCCTCGCGCTCCTCCCGCGTCTCCCCGCGTCGGGGCTCGTCCCCTTCCGCCCGCCCGTACCCGCCTTCCGCTCCGCCTGCGGCCGCCTCACGGGAAACCAGCGCGCCTCCGCCAGCCCCTCCGCCTCCGCCTCCGCCGGTGCCTCCGCCTGCGCGCTCCATGCGCGCCTTTTGCGCCAGCAGGCGGAGCTCCTGCTCCTTCTTCTCCTTCTCCAGCAGCATCCTCTCCCGCTGGATCTTCGACCGCATCTCCACCTCCTCGCGCGCCTTATTCTCCGCGACGTATAGCGACTCGGACAGGCGGGCGAAGTTGTCGTTGATCTGCACTTCCTGCAGCCCGCGACCGTCGGCCGCGAGACGCTTATCCAACGGAATTGTATACCCCTTGGGATTCTTCCAGTTGGAAATGCAAGGAGGAATCTTCCAGTCCTGCTGATCCTTAACGGTAACCGGCCGAGGCGGGGAGTGCATCACCGGGACCGGCGGCGAGCCGGAGGCTTTCGGAACGCGCTTATGCTTGAATTTAGGAGGATCCAGCGGATCGACCGGCATCTCGACCATACGAATAACGCGCTCCTT